AGAAGTATTTATAAAATGTAAAACAATGTTACACGAATCAGAAAAAGCAACATAATTTATTTCATCAGCGGAATTATGAAGATCAATGTGTGAGATTGTGTGGCAGTGATTAAGAATTTAAAAAAAAATAACAAAATCTTTGAAATTAAACTATCCATTTTTTTTTAGTCTTTTTTGATCGCTCACAAAGGAAGAAAATGAGAATAAAAATTAGTTTAACGACACGAATAATTTAGAAACTTTCTAAATTTAATAAAATATACAAATTAATATATTTACATATAAATATATAAATAAAAAGTTTACTTTCTTTATTACGTTATAAATCTTTTCCCACTTTTTCTGAGCTTCATGTTTTTTTTTTTACAAGTTTTTTTTATACGTTCATCTTTTAAGTTTCATACTTTAAATTTGGTATTTGTATTGTCGTATGTCAGCATTTAAAGACGTCTAAAGAAGTTATTATTGTCTCCATGATATTTATTTCTCGGCGATGAAAAAATATTCGAAATGTGTCTTCGTAGATCACACGTTTCCAGAAAGCTTTTATGTTTGCTGAACAATGGGTGGAGGCCGATTCCGTTATTAGGAATACAATGCGTCCCATTGTGTATTTACGGGACCCTAGTGGGGGAGAGATTTCGTGGTAAATTGCCGAGTTTTGTAGAAATCGCTCTTTCGAGATTGAGCCGTTCCAACGTGTTCTTTAAACATTGACATTCTTACGAATTTTTTTTTAGACACAAAACGTTGAGCAAAAATTTGCATATAAATTTTATACCTGTAATCAAGCAAGATTCGCAATAAAGTCAAAAATAAAAACCTCTGTAAAACTCATAAACTGCCTTGCAATAAATTAATAAAACTCGGGATTATATTATCACAATAACTACGTACATGGTGCAAATAGTAATAAAGACAAGTTTAAACCACAAATATATTTAGATTAACAGTTTTCCTTTTTTTCTTATCCGAAAACTATTGGAACATTATCTAAATCAGAATTGATCGAAAAGCTGCAATCTTTATAATTAATTTCCTCGTGAAACGGGTACACGAGCGTATCAGTCCCCTTATTAATTTTTACTGCGTTTCCCCGTTCTCCCGTGAAAGTCGAACAGGCCTCGCTAACGAGCAGTTTCGTTTATGATAAAAGGACAGCAGTGAAATAAATAGCATAGCCCCGCCACGTGGTATTACGGAGTAGCAATTATCGTTAAACAAGCTTCAGTAACAATGCAGCCTGTGGCAATAATAATTGAAAGAGAGTGCGACGAATGCATCGGAACGATTCCTTTGATCCTGATCCGATCGCAATTTTAATTCGAATGTTGAAATCACGAGGGAATCGAAGTGTGCTGATAAATCTGTATCTCACGTGTTATGCGTTTGCAGATGAATTTACAATGATCGAGCGTGTGTTGTACTTTCTCAGGAAGGCAAATGATTTTATAACACAGCAGCACAGTTAAATTAGAAAGCCTAGCAGAGAGTAGCGCAGGCCTGGAATGATAAAAGTTACTAGAAACGAGCGGCCCGTTCATCGGTGGGATCGAGAACTATTTCAGAGAGGATTCCAGGAACGTTTCGAACGGAGAAATCGAGAGACACGCTATGCTCCCATTTCAACTACCTCGCGTATATGGGCCTCATCATAGTGACTGTTATCGTGTCTGTTACCTTGTGGTAGAGCCAGGCATCTTATCGCAAACAAACAAACTTCTTTATGCCGATTATACTCGGTTCTCTCGAATCGACCTTTCCTCGAACCGGCCGTCCAAGGGCGCGCCATCCGATTAAGGTCGAGAGAGTCAACGATTGTCCGAAATATATACTTCACGCGACGTATTAAAATGCTGTTTTACATATGTATGTATCTCTTTCATTATCGTATCTATGCTCCGTGTATTCGTGCAGCGTTTGATTAACACGCCTGTCGACCCTCTGCAATTAACACTCGAATTTTTCTTCGTTCTTCCAATCAATCGAGAAATTTTGATTAATTACAGAGCTTTCCTTTGCCATCTAAAATTTAACAATTACTATAAATATCTGTTTGATATCAATGCAATGGTACAGTGAGTAGTAAGACGCACATAATACGGAAATAAGTAAGAAATAAAAATTAAATTTCCCACGAATGGCCATTGGATTTTTTCACTTTCATCTTCCCTCGTTTATGTTCATATTTCGATTATTAGTAAATAGATCTATTCGAATTTCTGTAAGCTTTAGAACATTTAAGAAGAAACTCAAGGATTCAAATACTGTAAACAAAAAAATGCCAATAAGAAAAAATATATGAAATTAAATCTTTTGAATTTGAAGCTTCGTTTCCGAGAAAATCAAGCTTGAAAATTTATTAAGTATATTTAAATTTAGCTAATTCTAAACGTGAGAAGAATAATTGTCAAATAAAATTTTTTCATTTGAAAGAAAATATATTTGGTTAAAAATCGTCTTATTGTTAGTACACTTAATACAAATTAATCTTGTGTATTTAATTACTATGTAATTACTAGAATTTTACTAGAATCGTTACTAGAAAATTACCAGAATATTAGTCAAGTATATTTGATAAATTTTCAATTTCGATTTTCTCAGAAACGAAGCTTCAAGTCAAAAAAATTTATTTCATTCTTTTTTCTTATTTTTTTTTTGTAAGGAAACACATCATGTTCTCTTTTGCATATTACATAGTCAATGTGTTATGAAAGGTTGACAGAATACTGTCAGATATCTGTCTGTTACAAGAATAATTATGCTAGAAAAATTGTAACCACGAGAGTATGGAAATTTAAAAATTTAATTTTTGTTTCCACTCCAATGTTTTTATGTTATTTCACATTATTATGTTATAACAATATGTCTATTACATAATTTTTATTACAGACATTATTATACAAATAATTTAGTAGTACCTTCACGTAACATTATTAAAAATATTGTTGTTAAAAAATAAATTTAAAAACAACAAATCAGTTTTCCGAATAAGTTTTCTATCTACCAGTTTCAATTTTAAATAATT